GGGAATTCTGGGAGTTGAAGTCCACTCCTCTTAAAGTGGCCAAGTTTGGACAACACTGACTACCCCTGTTCCAAATACCTTTATATATGTACAAAGGTTTTGATTGATTGATTCTGTGCCATCAAGTCGTTTTCGACTCCTAGCAACCATGTAGATAGATTTTTGGTCCCTAACCTGGTCTTTCAGGTCTTCCAACATCGCACCAATTGCCAGTGTAACTGAGTACAAATGTTAAAGAGCGTAAATATTTTGCCCAGGGTAGCTAGAAGCAAGAGGGTCAAAAAAGTGAAGCTGGTGGCTTCAACTGTGTGCCCACAGATGCCGTCTAGACTTTTTTGACACACTCACCATGAATGCCATGGCTATATGACACCCCTTGCACCCACCCACCCAATTTAGCTATTTCTGGTTGAACTGAAAGAGAATGCCAAGTTTCTGGTGGATATGCTAAGCGTTGCCTTCAGAGCCATCAGCCTCATCTTATCTCCTGCTGATTCCCCATCCCTTTTTTGTCTTTCTCAGGTGGCTTGCAGGCACAATAGCATGCACAGTTATCCTACTGATTGTCTTCTGTAATGTTCTGGGCCTTTCTTTCGGCACTTACGGGTTGGTTGTGCGGGAGGATCCCAGCGACTACGAGAGCCGGGCTGAAGCTGGAGCCAAATTTCTTATCACGTAAGAACTTCTGGATGCCATCTCTATATCCAGATTTGAGCCACTGAGGAGACGGTTGAGGTTCTTCTACAAAAACAGAACAAAGAAACAAACAAATATGTTGGCAAGGAGGACAGGATGTGGCCATTTCTAGATGCCTGTGCCTAAGCAGAGGTGCCAAACGGTTCGCTCTGCCCAACCTTGCTTCCATGTTCTTTGGAAGGAGCAGCAATCTGGAAGGGGAAGTGGGGTGGTGGCTTTTCTCCCTCCCTGACATGTGTTTATCCATCTGATTACAGTGGTGTCACCTTCAGCTTCCTCTTCTCCTGGGTTCTGATTCTCCTGGTCGTTGGCACCTTTCTGATCGGGGGAAACATCCGAACGCTGGTGTGCAAACCCTGGGCCAATCAAGAGATTTACAAAGTGAGTTCATAGGCATGAAAATGAGCAAGTGTGCTTAGAGGTTGTTGGTGAAAAGGCCTGAGTTCAATGGAGCCTTGCTGGGAAGAACATAAGACATGAGCTAATGTCCAGGCTAAACCCTAAGGCAGCCAGTATGGTTGAGGGTTAAGGTGTCCCTTCCAACTCAGATTCTGTTATTTGTCCCACAGTTTTTGACTTATTTTGCATGACTCATTCTCTGAGTCAGGGAAAATTCAAGACTTCTTGTCTGAGGAGGAAAATCCACTGAGATGGGTCTCCCCTTCTTCTGCATTTCCACAAGGCATGACGCATGGGAATGTTTGCCCACCAGTGGTCTCACAGAAACAAATGCGACTCCGCAGAGCTCCAATTTATTCCAGTAAATTTGGGTCTTGCCCAGGGAGGATCAGTCATCAGGACTGAGCTTGACATGCGCCTGAGCATCAGACGGGCAGGTTTTAAAAAATGTAAAAAATGTAAATAACATCAGGTAGTGGGTGGTATTTAATGGGAGCAGGTTAAATATTCAGAAAAACCCACCCCTGAATCCCAGTTTATGGACAGGCCTGTCAGTGGGGAAAATTCACCAAGTATCTTTCACTTGGAAAAGCTCTGCTGAAGAGGAATTAATTAAAAAAAATTTTTTTTTAACAACCCTGTGTCTTAACATTTAACATTCTGCCTGATTTGGCCATCATTTTTTTCTTCACCTGCCACTGGTGTACATATTCTTTCTCCCATTTCCAAATTTCTGGCTGCAATCCTGACCCAATATCCAGGTCCATGCAGAAAGAGAGAGAGGAAAAAAGGGAATTTCAGGGGTGAGAAGGTCTGCTGTTTTTTCATTGCGGGAAAGGGACTTCAGAGAAGCCTCAAGGGGTGTCAGAACTATAGGTAGTCCTCGCTTGACGACCACAATAGGAACCAGAAAATTTGTTGTTAAGCAGGGCAGTTGTTTAAGCGAGTCGTGCCTGATTTTACAACCTTTTTTGCAGTGGTCATTAAGCAAATCACCATGGCCATTAAGCAAATTGTGTGGTCATTAAGTGAATCACACAATTCCCCATTGATTTTGCTTGCTGGAAGCCAGCTGGGAAGGTCTCAAATGGTGATCACATGACCCCGGGACGCTGCAACCGTCATAAGTGCAAGCTTGTTGCCAAGTGCCTGAATTGTGATCACGTGACTGTGGGGGTGCTGCGACAGTTGTAAGTGTGAGGACTGGTTGTAAGTCCCTTTGTTCAGCATCATTGTAACTTTGAATAGTCGCTAAATGAATGGTTGTTAAGTGAGAACTATCTGTACAGTTCCCAGAGTTCTCAGCCAGCCCACCCAGAAGGAGATGTAATCCCAATACATCTGAAGGATGTCTGGCTGCTATAGATGTCTTCGTGAGGCTGTGCAAGGGCTCAGAGGTGACCACAAGTTGTGACCAAATGTCCAGATGGTCAGAGCTCCACTGTTTTTATGCACATTCAATCATGCTGTTGTGGGTAACCGTGTTGACACCCCAGGACCTCAGCATTCTTGTCTGTGCCCAAGCCATTCTTGTGTTTGCCCCTTGGACGGTGAGATTCATCAGCAGATAGAAGATTATTCCCAATGCTCTGCATTAGCGGAGTTAGTTGCATTCCCCCATAGCTAGCTCCAAAAATCTGTTTGTTTGTTTATTTATCAAATTTATACGCCGCCCATTTCGCTTCCCTATTTTGCATCTGTCCTGGTTGAAAAGTTCCCTTTAAGAGATGGTGACCACACGTCCTTTATTATAAAGGACGGTCCTTTATTTCAGAAAGCTGTCCTTTAGATTGATTTCATTTAATTATTCATTTTTTTGGTTTTGCTCTTGAATTTTCCTTTGTTATAAACATGAACAATTTATACTTTTTCCTTTGTTTTTCCTTTAACAATTTTTCCTTTGTTATAAACATAAACAAGTTATAAACGTAAACAATTAAAACAGCGTTTCTCAAGCTTGGCCACTTTAAGATGTGGTGTCCTCTAATCCCCAAAATTCGGAAGTTGGAGGCCACACCACTTATATTTGCCAAGCTTGGAGAACACTGAAATATTTCTATTTTATCCCTTTT